ATTTAATTAAAAATAAAGAATTAACGGATTAAGGAAGTTGACCGTTAATTTTTATAAACTTTCGTTAAATGGATCAATGTTGATAAATAAACGAAAAGATGGTGACTAATTTTATTAGTAAAAAATTAATGGTGACTAGAAATTGTGACCTCCCATAGTTTAGGAACCAAAAGTGTGTTTTATTTTGTTTTTTTTTTTTTCTTTTCGCCGTTTCCAGAACAAGCAGTGGTTGACTATGTTCGTTTAATCATATTCCAATTACAACTATACATCATATGTAGCTCTTTATCATTCTATTCGAATTAGTTAAGACTTGAAAGTCAAGCTGGCAATTGGACAAGTATTGAATGCATATTTAGTAGATAGAAAATTATTGGGTATGGAATTTTAACTAACCAGTTAGTTTACATACAGATGAGTATGAGTAGAGATTGAGAATCGGATGGCTCAATACCCATTGGGATCCCATAAAGTACAATTAATGGGATCCCAATGGAATTTTCCCATTCTCACTTCTATATTTTTAGTTCTACAATAATACATTTTTTATTTATATCTTTTTTCTACAATCACTATTTTTTTTTCTCTTTGTTATCATTTTTTTCTCCTTTTTTGTTATTATTTCTTAAATAAGAAAAAATTATTTGAAACCGACTTTTTTTTTCTTTTCTTGAGCTCAATATAAATGACTTATTCATGATATAAATAGAGAAAAAAAAAAGGAACAGAAAAGAATTTTGGTTTCTTTTTTTTTAAAAAAAAAAATCTCCTTTTCCTCTCCCTTCATCCGCCACAAGCCTGCACCACACCTTCCAGCCACCACCCTTCTCCTCCTCTTGCACCATTACTTTGGACCTAAAAGTATCATTCCAAGAAATTTTTCCAGTGACTCATTAATTCCTCCCTCAAACCAGATTAGTTTTCAACCGAAATCATCCGTCCTCATGTAAATCATACCCAGCCTTCTTCGTAAATTACAGAATCAAAATTCAAATAATCTACCAATTGGGTTGTTTTGATCTGATTGGGTTTAGGGAAATTTGAACAATCAACATCGTTAGCTTATAAGATATCCCCTTTTGAGCTGCCCTTTGGAGTAGGCAATATATGAATTAGTAACGGTGTGATTGAAGAAAGAAGGAAGTAGGGGTGCTGGGAGGTGGAGGAAGGTGGTTGTGCGGCAGTAGAAGGAAGGAAAAAATGGGAAACAAAAATTTAATCCATGCCCAAAAGGTCCCAATGGGACTCACACCCCAAACCCAATATTTACCCGCCCATAATTAACACCTACCCATATGTACCCAATAAAATATGGGCGGGAATTACCCACCCATATAATATGAGTTCCATTAGAATCCCAATAGGTTTGAGTATTTTTGCCAGCTCTACTTGAAAATAAATCATGATTAAATTAACTTTTTTTAATATAATTTATTTCGTCCTAGAAAAATAATCGTAGGTATATGAGTAGAAATGTGTATTTGATAATTAATAAGCGCAAAGTTTGTGTTGGAATGGACAAAAGCACAAGTTGTTTTCACTATTTTTAAAGATTCATCTGTGCCCTCTACCTATAACCAGAATCTAACTACATTTCACTAATCTCCTTCTTCAAGGTGGGAAAACTAAAACTTAATCATCTATAATAGTATTTATCTACAGCAAGTAGAGCTAAGAACATCATCACAAAACACAACCATTTCTGGGTCAACGATTCGAAGAAGATGAAGAAGACCCAAATCCCACATTGCCAGATCTTCCTCAAGAACTGATAGTGGAGATACTCTTAAGGCTACCATCACATCACTATTGAATTCAAGTGTGTTTCTAAACCATGGCGCTCGCTGATTACAAGTCCTGAATTCATTAAATCCCATCTCAAGAGGTCAACTAATGAACTTTATTGTAGTTATTATGTCAACCGTAGCCTTCTTTTAATCTCAATAGATTAGTTTGCTAACAAGATCATTTCTTGTTCTCTTCACTCTGTTTTGCACCAAAATTCCTAATCGAGATATTCACCCTCCTAGAACAACCCCTCTATTGGGTTATCTTCTCAAAGTCCAAGGCCCGTCAAGGTTGGGTTTATCAGCCCAGTTAATGAGTACGGTTTAAGTACAAATATATTATGTTTGTACTAAAATCTGTTGGACAACACAATGCAGCCTTCAGGAAGGGATGAGAGGAAAAATAGAATTGAGGGATGAGAGACTGTGTGTTAGGCGAGAGAATATACGTTGTAAACTCTTCTATTTTTCAAATCTAATAGTGCTGGTGTGTTTCTCCGTTAACGTAGATCTATTGAGAGATTGAACCATGTTAAATTGTGTGTTTGTGTTACTTGTTTGATTTCCGATGTGTGTGTTTACTATGTATGATTAGGGGTTTCAATCCCCAACAGTGGTATCAAGAGCTGATGGATGATCTTAGATAGTTTTTTGAGACGGCGGGGTAGTGCTAATTTTGAGATTGGCATGGAGTCATCAAATCAGCGATCGGAGTGTGCGGTTGGATTCCTTATATCCAAAAACAGTGGGAGCCCAAGTTTGACATAAATCGAACCGTTGTAGAGAGAAAAATTGAAGAGAGAAGAATTATGGTCCTTATCTTGATTTCCGGGCACCAGAGCGGAGTTGGCCTGATCAGACACCGGATATGAAATCTACACATTTGATTTGTGTTAGTGGTGAAATTTGAGACAATTCTGACCGTTAGATGTTGAGATATTGCGATTTAAAGATTTATTGTTCTGGACCGTCGATTGTGTGTGGCAGCTAGGGTTTATGAGAAGATGACACGTGTTAACAAGAAGTCATGCCACGTGTCATTCCATGAGATCACCACGTGTCGAGGTCGGATGAGTCAAAGATGATGTGTTGAAGATGCCACGTGATAGTATGTGGTGATGCCACGTGTCAGGTGATGTGTTGCTAATGTGTATGTTGAGTTGGCGCCACGTGATCAGTGAGATAGTTGGCCGGTCAAAGTACACTTGTTAATGGCCACATCATCAAAAATTTTGAAGTGACCCTTCCCCTTAATTTCAATGTGTTGAGTTTGTTTTTTGCATTGGTTTGGCGAAATTCAACTTCTATGATGTTTTGGTGGTTTGAAGTGTGTTAGGGGTGAAGAAGTATTGAAAAAGACGTTGAGATAGTTGTGTATGCCTCCAATCTTTGTGAGAGTTGAAATTTTATGATGTGGTGGAGTGTGGAGTTCCAAGATTTACCTCTAGAGAATAATCTTGATGGAGTAGATGTGATTTGACCGTGTTGAGGATGTGGTGCTAGTGGAAAGTGCAGAGTGTTTGTGGTGTTGATGTTGTGTTTCAAGTTGAACCATGTGGATTTGTGTGTGTGGTTATTTGTGTCAAAAGTCTTCCCTAATGAGTCAGGCGACGTGTCCCGTTAGTTGAGAGCGGCGGTACAAGATGATAGAAGTGTTGAGATTGTGGAGATGTTTCGAGTTTAATCATTTGATCCATGCGATGTTCCTTGTGTGGAAAGTCTTCTTGGTTGATGTTGCCAAGCGGCGTGTCCTGGTAGTGGAGAGCGGCGGTATGAGATAATTGAATCATGTGGTTTAACATTGAAGAGTTGTTGGTTCGAGATATGAGTTATGCGGTTCGCTTGACATTCAGATGGAAGAACTCAAGTTGAAGACGGAGATACAATTCATGTTCTCAGAAGATGGTACTGTGGTGGAACTTTGAGTTGAGTGAGGATTTGCTGGGTTATCTCCTCAAAGACCAAGGCCCGTTAGGGTTGAGTTTTATTAGCCCAGTTAGTGAGTAGACTTTAAGTATAAATATATAATGCTTGTACTAAAATCAGTTGAAGAACACAATGTAGCCGTCAATAAGAGATGTGAGGAAAAATAAATTTTAGGGATAAGAGACATTGTGTGTTAGGCGAACGAACATACGTCGTAAACTCTTCTATTTTTTAAATCTAATAGTGATGGTGTATTTTTTCATGTGGACGTAAATCTATTGAGAGATTGAACCACGTTAAATTATGTGTTTGTGTTGCTTGTTTGATTTCCGATGTGTGTTTATAGTTATGATAAGCGGTTCCCCAACACCCTCTTGGTTGCTGCAATGGGATTTTTGGCATTCTTGAAGGTTACAATAATACTACTATCATCTTGTGGAATCCTGCCATCAGACAGTTCAACAGGTTGCCTGATTCGGGCATGAATCGCCGCAGGTATAAAGTTTCATATGGCTTTTGTTATGCTGAGTTGACTGATGATTACAAAGTGGTGGAGGTATGCGGCGACGAACATCTTCGATTAATCGCAACACCATGGTTAATGTATTCAGTTTAAGGTCTAATTCTTGGAGAAGGATTAAGGATTATGAAGATGGAATCATATGGCCGTCAGGCGTGTTTTTAAATGGAGTCCTTCATTGGCTTGTGATTCATAATGATGGTCTGAAACTCCTTTGGAGTATTTTGTCGCTGGATATATCATCTGGGACACATGAAACAAAGCTAGCTCAAAACAAGAAGGAATTTCGTGATCCCGCGCTTGGGGTTTTGAAAGGGCGCCTTTGTGTATTTTGCAACTATAGTGAAACAAGAATGGACGTGTGGATGATGGATGAATATGGCAACAAGGAATCCTGGTTTAAATTCGCTTAGATTCCTTATTCCCCCGCTTGGGCTGATGGTGTTTCGCCATTGTTTGTGTCGAATTCTGGTGAGATTTTAGTCCTAGTGCTCAATCGTAATTCCTTGCGGTTGTACAATCAAGCAGATGGTATATTCAAAGAACCTGGGTTGAAGATGGATGATTCTTTATCTATAGAAGTTGGCACTTATATTGAGAGCTTAGTTTCACCCTACCTTTCATGGTAGTGTAAGGGACCAAAATTGATTCCTGACTTCAGAGAGTATTTTAGGCTGCCACTGAAACTTTATGGCTGCTATTTGTGAAAGTTTTTCTTTTTGCTGTATTTTCTCTTTTACGGGAAAGTTTTCTTCAATTATTCTCTTCATGTATCTAGATCTAATTGAAGAAGGAAAATCTTAGTGGACATCACCTCATACATTTGTGCAAAGGGTGGAGTTTGGACAGATCAATACAAAAGCTTGTCTCTTTTAAGTTTGATTTATAATTTGTTTTAAGTTTCACTGTGCTTCTAACATCTAACAGACTGACAGTGTGAAGATGCCTTTTGGTATCTTCAATGCCATATATTCTCATAACAAATCTCTTCTTGAATGAATCATCCACCCATGAAAGAAAGCACACGGAGACGGACTCTGTTATTTCGATTTCCCCGTCCCTAACTAATATGAGTGTTTTGAGCTTAGAACAGTTTCTTCTGCTAATCAAACTGTCTGGTCGTAGTACCTTTGTAGACTCTTATTCTGTTTCCCTTTTATTTAATCTTCTGCTTGTTCCCTTTGAAGATCATGGTCATTTACTGAGATTAAGCTCTAATGTAAATTCCTCTCCAATAAGAATTTCGAGGCCTGAAATCTCCACAGAGGCAAACTGTCCCTTGACCTTAAATTTACTACTTCCTGTGTTCTGATGATTTCTTCTCTCCCTCCTCCTACTTGATCTTGCTTGATAACTCCTTAGTCCTCCAACATTTTCAAGGCCTATAAGTGTAACCTTGGTAATGATCCATCTCTGTCTTAAAGCAAAGTTCGGGTTAAGAACTCTTGACTCGACTGTAACTGTTATCGTGTTCTTATCATGAATTTGGTAGCCACTGAATTGCACAGATGTCCACATCCCTCTCTCACTTTCAATCTCTAATTCCTCTCCATCATCAAGGAACAATTCTCCGGTGCTGTTTTTTTCTGCGCTGACAACCACCAGAAGATTGAATGGTGTTTTTCGGGCTGCCTCAGTTGTCATAGCCTGTTCTTGCATTGCTAATATATTTCCTCCTCGAACATGCACGTTTATATGATCTGAGGGCGCATCTAATGTTACATACTTCCCTTTACTCACACTCAGGAATTCCGAATGATTGAATAGGCTAAACCAGTTCCCTGCCGGAAAGTACGCATCAACTGTAACAACTCCAGGTTTAAGTGCCGGTGAAACTAGTACACCTTTGCCGAGAAGAAATTGCGTGTCAATTCCATAGGTATTCGTGTCTTCTGGAAAGGAGAAGAAGAGTGGTCTGGCAACGGGAGTTCCTTTCTTATGTGCCTTGTACATTAGTGTATAAAAGTATGGTAATAACTGGTAGCGGAGACCAAGTACTTTCTTCGCAGATTCTGCAACAGATTCCCAAATATACAATTCTTGAGAGATTGTATCTTTTGAAGAATGATCTCTAGCAAAAGGATAAAAGGCTCCAAGCTGCAACAGAGTGAAAAGTTTAGGAAGAAATGATCAGACCTTATTATTAATATGTTGTATTTTCAACCTGAAATTATTATGATGAAACATTATACTGAAGTAGACAGTTTTAAGTTTGCTGTGTAATAGGCTTTTATAAAGTGAAGTATTTCTTCACGTGTATTGACAAGTGCAAATTTTACTTCATCACATCTCAAAAACCTATATGGAAGCCGCTAATTTTGGACAGTAAGGCAGGTGAACTATTGACTAATGCGATTTTGGAGCTCAAGTAGGCAAAAAACAGTGCCCTAGTAAAATCTAAAGCTAGGAAGAAAACCATGAAAATAAAAGATATCTACAGCGTTAGTTTTACAACTTTCACGTATCTCAAGCGGAAAAAACTATAATGCAAATCAAACTAATGATATAAAGATAACCATTTACGCATACCTGAATCCAACGGCGACAAAGCTCTTCAGTAGTGTTTCCAGAAAAGCCGCATATATCTGCTCCCACCATTGGAACTCCAAAAAGTCCAAAACTCAAAGTGGTAGGTATTGTGAAAGCCAAATCATTCCAAGTGGCAGCATTATCTCCAGTCCAGTGTGCTGTAAACTTACCAGAACCTACAAAAGTCGATCTTGAAAGTACAAATGGCCTTTTACCTTTCAGTTCTGCTAATCCTTGATTCGTCGCTTTGGACTCCAGAAATCCATAAAGATTGTGGACATTATACTCCGAGGTACCCGAAAAATGCGTAGCAGTTCCGGGGACTGTTTTGAAAATGATGGGTGCTTGAGTTCCGGAGTTGTTAATCTTATAAGGAGGGTCATCAAAATTAGACAATGAAGAGGCAGGAGGAGAGGTGATGAAATTTGATATCTCATTCATGTCAATCCATAGACCATCAAAGGGGATAAGCTTGTGGAATAGACTAATTTCATTGCTCCAAAAGAGTCCAGTTGCAGGGTTTACGAAATCTGGGAAGTATACTTTTCCGGGCCAAACAACACCCTCATATGGTGCATTGTTCCGCTTTATGAATACATCTGCCTGCTTTCCTCTTATGTAAGTCTCATAAGTCTCATTAATGCTAATACCTGTATTAAGATGGTACACGATTCAGTAATGCTTGAGTGTGATTAAAATTTGTAGATCTACTCAGTAACTATATCAACCCGCAGTGATTGAAATGAAAAAAAATTGTAGAAATATTCAGGAAAAAGAGTAGTACGAGAGGAGAAGATACCAGGATCAACAATCACCACATATTTCTGACCATTTTGGTGAAGCATATCAATGAAAATGTTCATCTTGTCCGCGGGGAAATTAACAGGATCTAGTGTAAAATCCTTGTAAGCATCCATGTAATCAATATCCGTCCACATGACTTCAAGCGGAATCCCAGCATTCACATAACCAGCAACAACTCTTTCAAGAGTAGAAACATTTTTATAGCCATAACGGCATTGGTGAAATCCTGTTTGGCATATTTGACGTCATTTATAGATAAACGGTGCATTCTTGGTTTTGCAAATTCACTAACAGGACCGAAGTTTTCAAAGCAAGCATGGAAGGGAAGCAGTACTTGGTTGGTTAGTTCAACGTTGAACATCTTGAACTTGAATCACTAATTATTGTTTGATTTTGGGACAACGATCAGACTAGATTTTCACGAATTCTAGAAATAGGGTATGAGATATAAGAGATCGAGTTAGCAAGTACTTCTGGGTGGAAGTACTAAAGGAACCAACAAATTCCAATCAAGCAAAATTTGTCTAAGAAAATAGGACGTACAACTGCTAAGAACTTTTCACAAATTGAGCAACTTTTCACAATCCAAATTTTTCTGAAAAGAATGATATTAATCACCGCATAACAGTAAAATTTTCGTTTAGTCAAACATCGTCAAACATCAAAATGAGATGATAAACTAGGTAATAATAAAACCTCTGCTGTTCAAGGCCTCATTACGGAAGTTATAATTAGGTGACAAAAGACGGCGATTGACAAGTTTTCTAAGTGTCATTTTGTCAAACACTATTGAAACATAAGAAAGAAAGGGACAATAAACACACAAATCAGGGCCTTACCGAAAGACCAGTACGGCATGGGAGCAGGGCGACCAATGAGCCGAGTATACTGATCCACAACCATCTCTGGGGTCGGTCCGGCGAAAAAGTACAAATCAAAAATCCCACCGATGACTTTGTAAGTGATCCTATCTCCATTATAAACAATATCCATCCCATTACTATTGAGCAACAAAACTCCATGGCTGGTCCCGTTAGATGATCGAACATCCAAATAAAAAGGGTGGAATCCGTACAGATTCAGATCAACATTGGCGCTTCCAATGTCTGCATTCCAGAGCGTCAGCGTCTGATTGTGCTGAAGTCTAAATGAGCTCTTTGTATGCTCTCCGAAGCCGTACAAATTGGCCCTTTCCGATGGCAAAGACGTGGATAGCTGGAGATATTGATCTTTGAAAATGAGGAAAGTACCGGGATTGTTTGGTTCAGGGGAGGTGTCAAACAGACTTTCCCCTGTTGAAAGACGGCTGACGGAGAAGCCGAATGGGGTGGTGTTGTGGAGGCGGAATGTGAGGTCCGAATCGGAATGGGAGAGAAGCACGCGGCGGCAATGGTGGCGGCGGTGATGGTTTTCGGGTGATTGGTAGGCATTGGGCGGTGGCGGTTGGCGGGGAAGCAAATCATATGGGACTTCCCACCTTTTCTGGTTGGGGTCTGTTATTCGAATTCGTAAACGGTCCTCTGTTTCAAAACTAGTAAAAGGAAAATTCGCGTCAAAAATAAAAATTCAAATTTATTCACAAATTCGCCCCTCGCAGAATTCATTTTAACGATTTCATTTGACTCTGAAAGCGATTGTACTAGCATTTAGTTTTAGTTTTGTTTGTACTAAAAAAGAAATTTTTTATTAAACAATAATTTTGGGACGAAAAAAATATATTTTACCAATATAACAAGCAGACGATTAATTTTAAAACGGAATAAGTAATTATTTGGTAACTAAAAAAAAAAGAGTTTCCAGTAATTTTGATTTAAAAACAATGTTCTAACTCTTTACTTTTAAGCAAGTTACACGCTTATAGTGTACGAAACCAGCTATGTAACACATTAACAATCATTTGAGAGAAAATTTTACACCAAAAAAACATTGAGATAAAAAAAATAGTCTTTATTTCTCATAATTATTTAATTTGGGATTTCAATTTTTAATCAATTTAAAGTAAAAATGAAAATATAAACTGAATAATAATTTTGGGATGAATAGAGTATAAGAATGCAGGAATCTGGTTATACTAGAACATATATCCAATGTAGTAGTATTTGTGCTTTGGAGTAATTAATAAACCATGTCTGCCATAATACTCCCTTTCGGTCCTCATTATAACGTATTTTGATTTCGTCCTATGTTTCACATAAAATATTTTTTTAATTGGAATAAAAACCTTAAAAATATTTCATAATAATTAGAAAAACATAACGAATGTGAAATATATCTTTAAGGTTTTTCTTTCAATTAAAAATACATGCTATGTTAAACCTATGACGAAATTAAAATACCTTATAATAAAGATCGGAGGGATTACTTCTAAACGTTCTTATGGAGAAAAGGTTACGTAATTTGAAAAAGTACAAGTTTTCCTTTTATAATTACTACTACCAATAAACTATATTTAAGGAACTTCATCCAATTTAATCTAACAAACATTATCTAAAACAGCTATATGGATGGTGTAGCTACGTTGACCAGACTGCGATATGGGACCATTATTTTAGCCGAAACAGAGTAAAACTACCAATTCGATTCGCAGTTTCATCGAATCGAAAATTTCAAAATGAACTTCGAAATCACGATTGAATAAATGATCAGTACTGCCGCCGGCGACGGCGACAGGGCTTCAACAAGAAGAGATGACGGATTTAAGTTTAATTACTTACTTGGCAGTGAGGAGGAGATCGGGAATATCTGCGCCGTAGACGGAGGAGTTTCGGATGAGTTGAAGAGAAGCACTCAGTGACTTCCCGACAGAATCAATCCAGGCTGATTTGATTTCATATCCATATCCCACCACCACTTCCCCTGCCTCTTCGTCTCCTCCTCCTCCTCCTACTTCTTGGGACGCAAAAGTAGTACTGGATATTGTTGTTTGGGAGTTGAAAATGATAACCAACAGCAACAAAATATGAAGTACCCAATGGCAATGTGGTATCATTATTTTGTGTCTCTCAGTCAAGTGTAAAAGTTGATTGCTTTTTAATTTTTAAGAACGGCTCTTCATCTTCACTCTTCCAGTTCCATCAAAATAAATACTACTATACAAGATGTTACTTTCGATGTCCCCACAATATTGGGTGGGCCACCAAGCTCGTTTGTTTTTCCCCTTACCTTTTGTTTTAAGGCTCTCTTTGGTTTGTATTTTGAAACCATTTTCATTATAATACTTTACATTTCAGTTTCATTACACATTTATATATATATATATATGTATCCCTTTTATTATTTATTATTATTATTTCTACCTCCGTTCCACAAAATAGTCCAGTTTGATAAAAAAAAATATTGTCCAAAAAAATAATTCAATTTCAAAAAAGTCAAAATTGAAATAAGTAAATGACTTAATGCCTTATCACGTCCATTTTCCTGATCGCTGGAAACCGAAATTTAAAACCTCAAAAACACGCAGTACAATCAACAATAAATCTTGGCATGTCTTTGTTTCTGCCAAATCAGATTTGCGGAATGATTTTTGGTTTTGAGATCTGAATGATCATTGAGATTTATGATTAATTAATTAATCAGTTGAGAATTAGAATGAGGGCGGGGTTGAGAAGTAGATTTATGATATTTATAATGGCACACGAACACGAACCAAAGAGGGAACCAGCGGCGACGGAGACGAACGAATTGAAAAAGTGAAACTGATGGGAGATGAACGGCCAACGACGGCGGGAGCGGCAGATAATCAAATTGAAAAGGTAAAACTGATCAGATTGATGATTGATGATGATGTTGAACACTGACGACTCATTTGGCCTTGGGAAACCTATGGTTGTGCTTTTTGTTTTTATTTCTCATTTTTATATTTAGTATGGAATTAAGTTCAAGTAAGGACTAAAATCGGAAGTTTGAAGCATAAAATGAGTGGTACATTGTGAGGGTTGACTAAATTAAAAAAGTTGTACCTTTTGAAACTGGATTATTTTTTTGGGACGAAAGGAATATTATTACTTATTATTAAAGCGGAATACATAGGCTGCATGTGTTTGCTCCAACATTCGACGTGTTCCCTCTAAAATGAAAAAAACACTAAAGAAAAAAAACTGACATGTCGCTCTACATACGCTCAGAAAAATAATCCTCCCAAACGAATATTGCTTCCCCATCCTATCATCGTCATCAATGGATTTGATTTTATTTGCTAATTTAGGGCCCAAATTAAGGTCCTATTCAAATTCAAAAGAAAGATATTCAACCAATTCTCTCCATAAATCTTGGTCGATTGCTTCGAAGAAATTAATTAGAGCAAGGGACATTAGCAACCGAGAATTCCATCGATGACAACTAGCCAAAACAACAACAAGCCGGTGATAGAAACAACAGTTCATATTCAGATCTAAGTGGGCCGGTAAATTTATCTCATATTTAATTTGCATCATTTTTCAAAACTCATCACTTAAAACAATCTAACGATTTCTCCTCTCAGCATGCAGACATTGGTGAAAACCCTCGCCGGGGCAAGAAGTAGTAAAATAATATCGTCCATGAGAAGAAGCTACCGGGGATCCACTGGCCAATGATGAACCACCAACGATTGGGATGGACATGCGGTTAATTGACGAAAAATGAAAATGTAGATCCGGTGCATAATATTGAAGAAACAAATCAAGCCATCAAAGAGAAAATAGACCGACAAAATAAAGAAAACTCCGACGACATGTCTGCGATGAATAACCTACGACCGAAGGGGAGATTCGATTCACAAATTTGGCCAGAAAGGGGAGATTCGATTTGATCAAGATAAACCAACGGGCAGGCAAAGGATTGGGGAGGGGTGAGGATGTTAACACAGAATCACACACGCACTGTAAGAGAGAAAGGGGGTCTGGATCTCTGTGTTTGATGAGATTAAGTTAATGTTTTCCTCTTAATTTATAATTTACGTTACTAGTTCTAGTGACAATCGACAGGACATCTATTGAAATCAATAAATGGGGAAATCGGAGGTAAGAAGTATTTTGTTGAATGATTTCACAGTCATATAAGGCAAGTTTCGATGTTTTTCTTAAATTTTGGTTGTCAGTTGTTTAATTTGTTTGGTTGTTTTGGTCTTTATTTAAAATTGGAATGGGGTAATTTGGTTCTCCAAGAATTGTAATTTTAATCTTGTGATCTTATTAAAATTCCTTTATTTCAGAAGCCTCTACATCTTGATTTGTAAAGTATTGATATTATTCCTAAACTGCATCCTAATCATGTAGAAGTCTCTTATTAACTGCTCTAAATTTCGAATTATTCTCTGTAATTTTATTCACACTTCGGAGCATAGTAGGTTGATGGCCACGGAAGCCACTGAAATTCATAGTCTGTTGTAATCGTATGATTAAAATCTAGCAAACTATTTGAAGTGAGTTTTTCTGTTCATTTTTAATTACTCCCTCCGTCCCATAATTATTGTCCACTTTGTCCAAAAAAATTTGTCCCAACATTATTATCCAATTTGACTTTTTATGGATCAAGTTACACATTTGTCCTTAGTAAAAAACATTATCCATTAAAATCTTTGTGGTTAAACAATTACTTATGTAGGGGTATATCCGGTTGTTCAAAATAAAATATAGTTAAGTTTAACTAAAAATAAAATCTTTCATTTTAGTAAAATTGGACAATAATTATTGGGTGGAGGGAGTATTAAAAACATTTTCATAATAATGAGAAAATGGTGTCTTCAGATGCCTAAAAACCTGTTAATGACAAGAGTTTGTCACCTTTGAGTTGGGGAAGAAAGCTAAACCTATGAAAATACAAGGAGGACCTTCTCAAATGGGTTGGTCATCGAGGAGTTCTATATGGGCAACCCAAATGGGAAAAAGGCTTCTGTAGGGAAATAGGTGGTTCTTTTATCCTTTGATGCACACTCTTTATTGTTTATTAAAACCTCTGACCATAATAACGTAGGACAGGTTTTTGGTGGTTCTCAAGTTACCTATTGTGTTTTTATCACCTCATGCCTGCCTTCCCTCTTTCATTTAGCACATGATTTTCACTGATGTTATATGATCGGTTTTAAGTGTATAAACTCAGAATTTTTTTGTTCAAACAGATTGAGGTATATTACATTGGGAAGTCGAAGAAGTCTCGCTAGAGTTTTGACTCCAACATTGGAAAAGCACCATTTAAATTTCGTATAGTTATTATATCACTTGCTGTTTGATGACCACATATACTTGTGATTCGTTGAATTTTTTTCCTTTGTTAATCCTTCCCTGTAACTTAACATGCATTGGTCAAGCCATAAAGGGATGAGATGTTGGTATTAGTGGTAATCCTTCTCTGTGAGTAAGATCGGGCGTTTGGACTGTGACTTGTGAAAAAAATTACTTCATCATGCTGTAGTTGTGAAGGACAAATGGATGAAAACATGATACTAGCACACGTTTGGTGAGATTATACTTTTCCTGAATTTTGAGCAAGCTTGAATCGTGTCTGACCATTTTGTTGCAGACTGTAACCATTCAAGTGGGTAGTGTTTTTGCGTTATAGCCATAATGGATGGGTATATCTCCTTTCTTCAATAAATAGGCTTCAAAAGGGTGCAGCTTAGGCAGACATCAAGTCGTATCCATTACATATTAAGGTCAATTATATGAAGTGTTATTTGAAGTTTTGGGAGGTATCATGCGACCGCACATTTCTTCAGGTTTGGTGGCGCGTTCGCTCTAAAGGTAGCCAAGAGAAAGTAGGGAACCCATTAGAGGCAAGGAAGAAGAGAGAAGGAATGACTAATGTGCTATGTAAGAGGAGGATGAGGGTCACCGGGGGTGGTGAAAAGAAAATTGAGGGATTCATTTGTAGCTTCTCATTGTCCCATGAGAATGGTAACCTCTGCCATGTATTTTGATCATTTCACAAATTAAAAAAAAAATGGTTTCTAATAAACCTTTGCCATGTACCATCTATGTTTGTCCCTTTTTTGTAATCACTATTTACTCATAAGAAAATATATAATGTATGAGATTTTTTTTTGTTACAGTGTAATATCTTTTTCAAGTTATATATCAATTTATTAAGCGGGGCCGCCTGGGTATCACTGGGGACAAGCATCTAGTCTCTCTCTCTCTCTCTCTCTCTCTCTCTCTATATATATATATATATATATATATAGCCTTTGTAATTTTTTCTATCTAAACTCCATAATTGGATTGGTCCTTTTATCTTTGAGCATATATTTCATTTTGTCGTTGATTAAATACTCTGATGGAGACCATCTAACTCCTAGTCAACAAGAGGGTGTCAAAACTAATGAATATGAGTTTCTAAAGATTGTGAATGTAAGTGATGAATAAATTATGAAGAATTCTTACACAAGATAACCACTATCTAACATAGCCGCAACAATATCATGCAATCTTCTCAGACCTAGTCCATTTGCCACAATCGAGTAAATATCATGCAATCTTCTCAGCCCTAGTCCATTTGCCACAATCGGGTAAGTCAATCACTTCCAAGTGTGCCAATGACAATTTGAAATCTCTTCTACACTTCCCAACATGAATTTTTGGAATTTCATCTCCAAGGCATGCAACACAAAAGTGGGCATATCAATGGCTCCAAATACATGCAAAGGTATAGAAGTCAATACATGTTTTGGGGATTAGACAGCTCTTCTTTTCTTAATAATGAAAAAAGGTACGTGTAAGCTAATCTTGGAATCTGTTTCAGCGCAGATGACTTATTGATGCCGGACTTCTTCCAGTACATATTATAGATTTTCTTCCAAAGTTCATCAGCTTTTCTTTCTCCCGAAAAGTGATGAAACACACTTTGATCAATCCATTGTCGAATATTACAAACAGTCTTCCTGTGTATATCAGCCCACTTTTTATCAACCATATCACTTGCCCTACCTTCATCCCCTAGAACAGGATCAAACAAATCTTTGCAATACAACAAATCTTCCATTCTAGGCTTCCACATATGATAATTGGATGAAGTCAATTTAATCATCGTACTAGTACCCGATGAATCTTCCATTTTATTGGTGTACCACCTCAACTACGGAACCGTAGCTCTGATGCCACTGTTGTGGCGGAAAGGGCATAAACACAATACACTACGGAAGCGAACCCCAAGAAAATCTCCGTTCCTACTACCAATAAAATAGGACAACCAACCAAACAA